AAAAAAAAAAAAAAAATCGTGCGTGGCAATCACAATTTGGGGAGTCACAGGTCACAGTGTGGACCAAAAGTTTGTGAGTTGTGCAGAAAGTGTGGCGTGGCGTGGCGTGGCGTGGCTGGTCACGACACGCATCATCAATCATCAATCGAGGCGCGTCGCGCGTCGCGCATCGCAATTCTGAGAGGGGCTTGCAAGGGCGAAAAAAAAGGGGGGGGAGGGGCCGACGTGGGACTTTGTGGGCTGCAAGTTGCACATCTTCTTGATGGAATGGGTCCATCCATGTTGCTGCCCTTGCAGGTGTACAAACGGCTCCAAGCGATCGTGAATGCTGGGCTTGCGTGTTTGACAAGGAGCGAAAATGTACGTACCCGTACCGGTATGCATGTTGCGCTTCACCCACCATTCATTCACCTTCCCAACGAGCAACGCAAAAAAAAGTCTCCTTTTAAAAATTGAAACTTTTTGGCCCTCTTTTTTTGGACACTATTCCTTTTCGACCAAATTTGCGACCTTGCGTGCCAAAAGGCACATTCAAATTGCCACTCTTTTCTTGCATCCCCATACTTCTGCTATCCTTTTTCTTCCTCTTCCGAAGTTTTTTTCATGCGCGCAGCTACCAGCAAGGCTAATCACACGTCTGTTGGCTGGCGTATGCAACAAGAGTGGCTTCTTCTTCTTGCCCTCACTTTTTCCTGTTCTGTCGCATGATTGGTGCATGTACACGGCCGTGCGACACACAGGCAAGCATGACGATGACGATGACGATGCTCCATCCCCCCGTTCATCTTGTTCAGTCTTGTCTTGCAGAATGCCTCGCCCTCGAGAGGCTCTTCCGAGCTGAGCTGAGCTTCGCGCTCTGGCTCCAAACCTCCACTCCACTCGACCATTCCATCCCTGTCCCGCAGTCAAGAGTATCGCGCACCGTGCGTTCGGTGCATACGACAACAACACGCGTCTCCTCCTTGCACCTCTCAAAAGTCCCAACCTGCGTCCGCGCGTCGTTTGCATGCCGCCACCTGCTTGCTTCAGACGTCGTCGTCGTCGTGCCCTTCGCCTTTCGCTCGCGATTCAAGAATCGCAAAAGCATGCGCTTCTATCACAATCACAGATCAAATCGTGAGACGGTGAGCCCTGATGCCAGGACGGTATTCGATGGCGTGCACATCGCTTCGTAGAGGAGGGACAAAGGTGCGTCTTAGTCGACGGGCCAAAAGCGACCTAGCGGGTTGTCCAGATGATTCCCTTGTTCCTCGCAGTCGCACAGTGCACAAAGTCCGCTTCGACATCTTGGCACAAAAACGAGAGGTCGATACAAACGGTACGACAAAGGACCTGCGAGGGAGTACGTGAGAAAGAAGAACAAAGGGTGAAATGATGTGAGGTGCGGGAGGGGTTGGGACAGATGTGCGGCACGCAAGCACGAGTCAGCCAAGCGCCTCACTGCGATCATTGCAAGTCGATGCCAAACGAAATCAAGTCCAAGCAAGCTGTGCAAGATTCATGCGAGAAGGGCGATGCAAGAGTCGGGCGCGCGCAAAGTCCCTTCTTCGAAAAGCGCAACGTTGCCCCCATGACGCGCCTGCAACAGTGTGGGTCTCCCTTCAGAAACCAAGAGTAGTCACGCGTCGAGTTCCCACTTCTACCCTCGAAAGAGGGCACAAGAGGCGCCATCGATTGCACTGAAGCCTCGAGGGGAAAGAAGTACTCTTCCTCTCTCGGCATCCTCCTCTCCAATCTCCACGACCTTAAGCGAGGGAGAATCACCAGAAAACGATCCTAAAGACGTGTCGTTTGCGTCCCATGACCAGGAGAATCGTTCGATGCATGGTCCTGGAAGATGGAGGAGACCCTGACGCTCCGAAAGGAGCGTGCAACATCTTTGTCTGTCTGCTTTGAGACAAGGTTCGCAAGACAACCCTAAGGTGATTCCCCACATTTCGACTTTTCGTCATCTATCTCTTGACCCTATCCGAGCTGCATGTCAGCCTCGTCCTCTTCCCGCCGAGCACCTCCGAACGGCAACGACGAGTCCGCGCCACTAAGGGAGGCCCAACTCAATTTCATTCTCTATAGTGGGATTACACCACGTTCCCGCCACGCAACCCCATGAAGCCTCGCGACTGTCGCTCTCCGCAAAAAAAGAGCGACCCGCTCGGTACAATCTTTCCCTTGGTCAACCACGGTCCCAAACAGAACCGCTTCCAAACCGCAACAACCTCGCTCAGGAGGAAGTGCTCAACGACACGAGGATCGTTACGAAAGAGACCGAACATTGTGTCCCGTTCTGCGCCTCTTCCATACCCCTCGTCCGCCCAAAGCGTTGAGGAAAGGGTGGGGTGAAGCCCAATGACAAGGGGTGGCGTCTTGGGCCATATTCGAGCGGGCACGTCCGAGTTCAGTCGTATCAATCTCTGTGCGGAGCAACGGTGCGAGGGCCGCTAGAGGCCCTCGACGAGAAGGAAACAGCCGACGGAACGAGGAGAATGCGCTTCGCAGTGATGCAGTGATCTGACTGATCTCCAAAGAGACAGGCAAGACCCCCTTTCCTCGCATCCATTTTGACGGATCGCGTGTTTGGTGTACGGCAACGTGGGTCCCTTGCGCCAAGTCCGTGCCCCTCGTCGCAAGCAATAGCACACCCCGAAGAGCGCACCAAGCACTCGCATCGAGCGGCCAAAACCGAGCACAATCAGCGAGAGGCATTTCTGGTGTGAGCATGACCTCAGCGACCTTTCGGTGCTAGCCCAGCTAGAGCATTGTGTAGCGTGACGCGAGACTCCCAGAGGTGCCGCGAAAGGCAGAGAAGAAGAGCGAGACCAACGGAGCCCATCTTCGGGTTTCCAAACGAGTACGATGATCAAGCCTCGTATAATCGAGCTTTGCGAACACTGACAAAGACGTCCGCGCAGGTGACATCACGACACGCCTCCGAAGAGGCGAGGCGACGTGCTTGATACCTGCACGAAGGGGAGGAGGAGTACGCGGACCTTCCCACTCGCACGCATGTCCCAAATTGACATGGGCGAGTATCGATGGCCTTTGGACTGAAGGGAGAGACTACCACAGCGCGGTCGAAGCAGGGTGGGGCAGTGCGACACACCTAGTGTCGCAAGCGATGACGCCAAGGCGACAATCGGGTCCACCGCAAGCGCGATGCTGACCTTGCCCCGAACGCTTTCTGTGGGCATCCTAATGGCGACAAGACTCAGCTATGCCGTGCGCGCGCAGACTGCGAACCAAATATTTGGCCTTCAACATCCGAAAGGATACGAAATGCCAAGAAAAGAAATGTCCCAAAGCCCGCGGGACCTTGCTACCGCTCCTTGCGGGGCGATGAACAAGCAAGGGCTCTCGACGCGTCAAGCAGCCGAGAGCCAAACCGCAAAACGAGCGCATGAGGATCGTGGATTACTCTTCCTCTCCAGCGAGCACCTGCGCATCCTTGGAATACTTTGATAGGAGCACAAGCGACTCTAAAGCCAGGAGGGTACTGCCGAGACCAGACCAAAAGCCAAACGAGGCACAGAATTGCGAGCCGAAGAGAAGAGAAAGTACTTACGGCTGAGTGAGGGGCATCGTTGCGCTTGTGTGCGCATCATCTACCTCTTCTTGGCGTAAGCGTTCCCGAAACCTCCATTCCGCCGCAGGGTGCCACCTATAGCACCGCCCATCTTGTGATGGTGCTTCCAGTCGTCGTGCTTGACGTTATTGGCCAGGAGACGATCTTTGCGATGTCCAATCTCGACGGGCACAGTGTCTTCTGACGCTTTTTTGAGTCTGCAAGGGCGCGACCCGATGTATTTGCCTGAAGAGGAGTTGAGGAGCGCGTGAGCGGCCATGCGGCGGCGCAATGGATTCTCACACCTCAAGATGGGATGTGCTTACCGTCCATCTCTTTCCACGCCTTGAGAAAGTCCTCTGGATCCGCGAATGCGACAAATCCATACCCTTTAGACTTGTTGTCCGATTTTTTTCGAATGACTCTGGCTTTGCTGAACGAAGGGTATTTCTGAAAGGCTGCAGTGAGAACGCCATCGGAGACGTCGTTGCCCAGATCGCCGACGAACAAGCGTTTGTGCTCTGAGTAAGATCGAGGATAGATCGGGGATGAGCGCTTGAAATTGGCGCACGAAATCCAAGAAGGCACATGGTGACTCACTCGGATCCCATTCCAGCAGCGTTTGATCCTCGTACAATTTGCCAACGGCTTTTCTGAGCACAGTCTGACGCGTCTCTCCTCTCTTCAATTGTCCAGCAAGCTGATTGCCATCCTTGTCTTTTGGTCCGATCTGGCGCTTCTCCCTCTTGGCTTTGCCGCTCGACGGATCCAACGCCGCATCGGCCCCATGCCCTTGAGGCGCTGACCACTGCGCAGATGAGGATGCCCCGACACCCGAGAAAGCGCTGCCTGGTGCGTTTCCATAAGCTGAGGATTGCGTGGCGTGTGCTGAAGCGTCGTACGGCGCGCCTTGATGCGCAGAGGATGAGCCAGGCAGACCTTGGGGATAAGCCGCGTAAAAAGCATCGTAATTGAATGCCCAATTGTTGCTGTTCTGATCCCAATAGCTGAGGAATGAGAGCGAGGGTGAGAGGCACAGAAGAGCGTGGGCACTGTCAGCTAAAGGTATCACTGAGAACAGACAGAGAGTGTATGTGCACAGGCGCTTGCGCCAGCGTCAGCTCTGAGTAGGCATACACGCTCTTCTGCTTCGCTGATGAAGCGCATATACTCACTAGAATGCCGCGTAGGGGTCTTGACCCTGACCCTGAGCCGAGGACATGGTTGATGGCGCCAGGAAGAGGCGCGTGGGAATGCAAAATGGTGGACGTGGCGGTGGCTATTGGGTGATGGTAAGCTTGCGTCTCAGGGTCGCCGAGTCAAGCGTGAGTAGCCAGAGCTGGAAGGAGCTGTTAAAGTGTGACTGTCAAAGGCGCGAGGCATGGAATGGACAGCCAAATGCAAGTTTCTGAATCGAAGGTGAATGCAAACAGTGTTGAGTGGGAAGATGGTCGAGCAAGTGGGGGCGAGCATGGATGGGCAGGCGTACAAGATTCCGCGCGACCGCAGGCGCACAACCCTGTGAATCAGACTCGTGAATACAGCCTTTCGCTCAGCTCGTGAGTGATGCATGGCGAGCGCGACTCACACACAGCCCAGTCAGAGTCTGAGCTCGAAAGTTCTCGTCGTTTATGCGCGTGCATCTCTTGCACGAGAGCCAGCGACAGGCCTGTGTCACGTGGCAGTCGCACGCGTTATCGTCCAGCAGCGTGACGAGGCTCACACTCATCAGTCTGCAACCTCATATCGTATGCACGGAGCAGTTGACCATGGAATTGGTCTTTCACATTAGCACAGAAGCCTCGTGTTGAGCTTGCATACATGCGTGAATGTGTGATTTTTTGGGATTGTTGAGGAAAGGGGGCCCCCCGAAAATGTTAGTATTACAACTCGGGTTGTTGGAACTTCGCCGCATACCTCTTTGGGGTTTTCAAAAGGCATTCACCAAAGGTGCCGAACGACGAGGGCCAGACGACAATGGGGGGGATAAAGAGAAGAGATGACTGTTGCCAGCAGAGCACCCGCAAAGAAGGAAAAGAGAGGGGCGAGATGCGCCAATGTGGAGACGCATCGACTTGTGCGCTACTCAGCGAGGACACTTAGTCCCAGCCGGAAGTTTGCTGACCACCAGCGGCAGCGCCGTCAGCGGCCCAGTCTTGCGCATCGCCATCAGCGGCCCAGTCTACCTTTTCTCCAGCAGGTGCACCGCCCTGAGCAGCAGTGAGTGCGATGGAGCTGGGTCCAACGCCTCCCAAGTCGACTTCTTGGTCTCCGACCGTCTCGATTGGAGCATTCTTCTCTGCCAAAGCAGCCGCAGCTTCGTTGGCCTCTTGCTCAATCTCTTGAGGGTCGCGGTAGAAGAACATGTCCACCATGACTCCCCAACCGTCAGGAGTGCGAGGGATGGTTCCGCGAAGACGCAGGATTTCGCGAGCCAACAACCACCAGAGAAGACCGACAGAGTGCTTGGACTTGTTGTTACCTGGAATGGCAACGTCGACGTGACGCAAAGGAGCATCCGTGTCGCACAGAGCAATGACGGGAATGTTGACGTAAGAAGCCTCGCGAATAGCTTGGTGGTCGACGCGAGGGTCAGTCACCACGATGATTCTGGGCTCCTTGAACGATCGGGTGATGTAGTTGGTGAAGGAACCGGGAGTGAAACGACCGGCAATGGCAGTAGCACCAGTGTTGGATGCGAACTTGAGCACAGCTCGGTGTCCGTATTGACGACCAGAGAGCACCACAATGTCCGCTGGGTTCTCAATGGCAGCGAGGATACGAGCAGCGAAGACGATCTTCTCCCAGGTCTTGCCGAGGTTGAGCAGGTGAATACCTGTCAATGAGTCGAGACGTTGGACAGTGTCAGCATGGCGTTTGAAAGCCAGTGTATGCGCCGAACTTCTGGCCTTGATGCGACCAGCAGCACCAGCAGCACTCTCTGCTCCAATCTCCTACCACGTCAATGGATCCAGTCTTGCGCGGCGGGCCAGCCCAACTTCTCCCGTCAAGCTTATCATGCTGCTGTCCCTGCTTTGACCAGGCTGCTCGTTTGCCGCACGACTCACCATCTGCTCTGCGCTTGTAGACGTAAGGCAGCATAGCCTTCTCCACCTGCTTACCACCAATGTGGGTCTGAGCGGCCAGAAGGAGGCTGATGTCCTCCTCCGTAGCGTCCAAAACGGATGGCAGCTTAGAAGTCATTCTTGCGCAGGTGTGTCGGGTGGATAGAAGATATCTGGTGATGCTGTTTGTTCTAGTCGAAACTCAGAAAAGCAAAGAAAAGAGCCCCGAGAATCCAAGTGTCGTGAGGGATCGAAAGGCAAGACGAAGCGCGGCTTCAGCTGCTCACCACTGGTGTACCTTGGCGCTCTCATCAGCTGCGAACCTGCGCGCACATAGCCTGCCTGATCCTTAGCGGACGCGCCGCGCGCTCGAGAAGAATGCAGGCAACGTTTGGCGAGAGGCCACGTGGCAAGCACAGACCGCGGCTCTCGCGCGCCGTGCAGGCAGACAGCATACAGCGCGTGAGAGGCGCGGCCCTGCATGGCACGCTGCACCGCAGCAATCGCGCCTCGCCCCTGCCCAGGCTGCCAGAACTTCGGCTCTGCCCGAGCCTCGTGACTCTGACTGTCGTGACTTGTGACTTGTGACTTGGAGTGTGTTTCCAAGTGCCTGCAGACTGTCCCAACCTTTCAACGTACTCCTTCACCACAACATACACATCGTCATCGGCACACTCTTTTCAAGATGGTTAGTATTGCATTCACGCGAGAGCTGTGCTGCGTCATCAGCAATACTCTTCGCCACCATGCGCAGCTGCATGACTAGCTATTCATCGTCGTGTAGACCTGCCTAGCCAACGAACTATCAGGTCCTGCACAGCCGGGCTCTTTGCGAAAGGAGGATTCTTGGGAGGTAGCCACGCCACAATGAAGAGGTCTCGAGCACGGCTGGAATATCAGAGACGGCGATTGGTGGAGGCGAATGCCTAATGCTACACAGCTGGCAAGTCCGAAGCCTTCGACCCCCCCACGTACGGGAATAGATCCAGGTTGCTCTGCGGCACGATGACCCGAGGCTTGGCCGCAGAACACGTCCGTCGATCATCACATCATTTCCGTCGTGTTTCCCTGTTCCTGCACCTGGTACAAGTAAGGGCCCACACAAGCTTACGCTCCCACCGTGCTCCTTTTCACCGCTGCACAGCCGTCTCAAAAGTCCTTCCGCACCAAGTCCAAGCTGGCAAAGGCCGCTCGTCAAAACAGGTGAGCGCTGCCTTGCGCGCGTAGGCTGCAATTGCGAGTCGACTCGTCATTTGACACGCCATGTCCGCACGCACTGCGAATGTCATTTCTACCTTCAGGCCTATTCCTTCTTGGTTCAGAATGAAGACTGGAAACAAGATCCAGTACAACGCTAAGCGTAGACACTGGCGCCGCACGAAGCTTGGACGTGAGTACGCACTTCATGTAGGGGGAGCGACGATGGCACTTGCAGACAATCGGCGAGGGTCGCACTTGTGGGGGCGGAGAGGATTTTGCTTGCGTAAATACTTGCATCCAGCGGTGGGTGATTTGCGCAAGCGGGTAAGGTAGTGCAAGCCAGCCGACGCTTGGTGAAATACCGCGCGTTGGGCGTTCCATCGACATGACCCGAACCCATTAGCGCGCACTCCCAAGCACTGGTGCTGACCCACCCGCATTTCCCCATACCTTACCATTACCATAGTCTAAACGGTTCGACGCTCCGACAAGAAAAGGCTCCAGTTTTCCCGATTGCTCGAGCCATCGAAACTTGGTCATCATCTCAATGTTGCAAGTTCGATGGCTCATTACGTAGCGAATCCTGTATCAACGTCAACACAACACATGCTCATGCCGTCAAAGCGCAATCCATAGCATCCCCTTCAACGGCCCTTCCCAAACCGCACCACACCGCGTCATCACGTCGGCATTCATTTCCGGTCAATGCCAGTCGTTTGTCATCCATCGCTTTAGGCTGGTAAGTATAGAGGCGATATGCGTGTCATTGAAACATGCAGCCGGTGCAGCACGAGCCATGGTGACAAAAGTGTGGTGAATCGAGAGGGCTTAGGGAAACGCGTTTGCGAGGACGCAGGGACAGCAGGCGTGTCGACGAGATGTCAGCAGCAGAAGTGCAAAAGGAACGTGAAGTATGATAAGTGCATGGGTAGGAGGGCATGCATGGGTAAAAGCGCAAGGGGTCTCGTCCATGGCGAAGTCTCCACAGCGTCCTACTCCCACACTCGGATCGTTCCGCTCGCATCTCCCGCGACGACGCATCGGAATGGCGATTCGATGACGTTCAAAGCGGTGATCGCGTCCTTGTGAGCCCTCATGAGACTCTGCGCTTCCGTCTGCTGGTGCGTCAGTAGAGGCGAGCGGGCGGGTGCAGTGGATTTCTGAGCAGCTGCGCTCGAATGGCTTCCGCCGCCTCCGTTCGAATTTGTTCTCTGCTTGTGCTGCGATTGCGGGAGTGTGTGGATGTGTAGAGTCACTGGCGCGCCATCGCACGTGCTGGTGTGCGACCTGCGCCAAAGACAAGAAAACGCAACTACGTGTAAGTTGAGCTTGGCTTATCAGCGACCACGTCGACTCACCAAAATTCTCCGCGCTCTTCTCCACTGGCAAAGGAAACGCTCTTCTCCACTCTTCCAAGATCCCAAAATCGCAAAGTCCGATCAGCACCACCGCTTAGCATGTAGCCCGCCGGACCTTCGCGTTGCGCTGTGCCCGTTAGGCCGCTGTGCTCATTCGTTTGCGCATCGTCGCTGGCCAGTTTACCCGCATCGACCCACCCACCAGGCACGTGAGAGGCGGGCGCGCTAGAAGTGTAGCCTTCCAACGAGACGTAGAGAGCCTTGGCGCTGGGGACTTGCGTGGCAACGTCTTGCAAAGACGCTGCTGCAATCTCCGCGTGCGTAGAGGTGGCCTCCCCATCCAAGTGGGAAGGCGCGGTCGTTCGCGCTTCGAGCGATGCTTCTTGCAACTTCACGAAGCGTTCGATGGCTTGAGCGGCGCTGCCTAGACCGCCAGCGTGAGGGCCGCTTGCTGCGCTTTGCAACGGTGTGAGGGACTGTGCTCCTTTTGCCTCTGTCCCGTCCGCACTGCCCCCCCGAACATGCCGCAGTGATCGCTGCTGAGCTCCTTCCGAACTTGTCGCGACTTGGCTGCGCTGTCCATTACTGAATTTGCGATCGGTCGTCACATCAAAGCTCTCCACCTTCTGGCACTTGTCAATGTCCCAAACCTCCACCATCGTCTCCGCAATCGCAGCAGCGGCCTCCGGCGTTCCGATATCTGCAATCGAGTGCCCTTGTGCGGCTGCCCGCCCAGCTGAATTGTCGCCTATCCTCTCGAACGCAACCAGCACGAGCCGGCCCCTACCTTTGCTTGGGTGGGGAATGACACGATTGATGCGCACGACTGCCGCTCGTGGAGCATCCAGGCGTTTGGCTGCTTCTGTGCCCTCTGGATCCCCAATCCTCCAGCTCTTGAGTAGCAAGGAGAATCGAAGGTCCCACAGCGCCAGTACCCCGCCGAGTGTGCCAACAAGCAACCATATGTTTCTTTTATCCGAGCACATGCAAGTGATGGGGCCAAAGTGCGAAGGATTACTCAGCGTCTGAAGAACTTGCATCGTGCGGAGATCGAGGATGGTGATTTTCGAAGCGCTGGTACCCAGGATGAGCGTAGCAGATCCAGTCTCTGCCGTATGCGACGAGCTGACCGCACTAGTCGCTGAGCTCTGTAGAAGACATAGCGCATGTTCACCAGGTCGAGAAAGTTGGAAATTCGAGACAAGTCGCAATTTCCCATACTTTGGCAAAGAAGAGGCAGCGTTGACGTCGACTCGCACAATGTGCACGCTTCCATCCATCGATGCGCTAGCGACGCAGTGTGTGCCCTCGAGTATCGTCAGTGCTGTGACTCCGCCGCTCTGTGCAGAATAGGTCGCGCGAGAGTGCGAAGTGACGTTCTTCTCCAAGCGAGCAGTATCCCACACTTTGAGAGTGCCATCCATCGAGCCAGAGACGAAAAAGGCTTGGTCTGGAGAAACAACGATACCGCTGACGGAGGCGGTGTGCTCGGTAAAGTAGGCCACTAAGCTTCCCTCCGGTCGCCTGTTGCTACCGCCCGAGCTCGTAGTGCGCGAAGTTGCAGAAGCTGCGCGCATTCCACGGCGGCGTGATGAAGGACCAAAGCCTGCTGGAACATTGGGGCCCCAGATGGACGGTCTGTCACGAAAGTTGGCAAAGTACGCTGCTTCTGTAAGATGGAAGCCCGAACACTACAATCAATCAGCATGCCGTTAAAGGCGCCACCAAACAAAAAACTTGCGCTACTGACCTAGATGGGCTTTGATGTATGGGTCATCACCCGCATAATTGGAAGAGAAGGCGGCAGCTTCATTCGCCTCGGCTCCTGCCTTGCCCTGATCGAGCCCTTGCAGTCGCATGGCAAGGTCAGACATGGTGCCGGTGGCTAACGCTGCGGAAGCACCCACTGCCGGAGCAGCCTTGCCGATGCCCAGTCCGCCTTGGGCCGCAGATGCGGACGACGGAGGGCTGACGGGCACCGCACTGGCTTGCAGCGTGGACGGTAGGTTCGCCTGTGAAGGCTCTTGTTGCCGGCGACTGAGCAGATCAGTAGCTTCCGACGCATCGTCAGCTGCCTTGGACTTCTTCTTCAGCTCAGCGAGTGGCCCCAAGGGCGTTCCCATCTCACTCGGAACGCGACTGCCTGCCAGTCGTCTCCGAGCGATCTGATTCGAGAAGGACTCTTGTGCCTTCGATCGACTGGACCCTTGACCGATTGACTGCGTATCGAGCTTGCCAGTTCCAACGTTGCCCTTTCCAGCGCCACGAGTACTGAAGAGAATAGTGAGGGGTGTTACACCTTCGATGCTCTGCACGCCTTGAACGCCCTGGCGAATCAATGGCTTAGAGATGCCATCATCGCCTGAGGTGGCAGCAGAAACGGATTGCCTAGAGCTGAGTGTCGTCGTTTCGATGAGAGCCTCTGTCAGCTATTGACGGAGGCGCAGCAGCGCTTTTCGCTTACCTCGACTGTCTTGCCAGCTTCCATATGTAGTCGCGCAGGGCTACCAGCTTGATCTCGTCGTCAGGTGCCAGCCCAGCCGCGCGGAGCTTGTCCAAGTAACCGTCGTCCCTATCCCAA